GTCTTATGCTGCTTCTTAATTTCATCCTTTGGTAAGTCTTTGGATACTTGGAAACGAAACTTTACTCATGTCTTCCTAAGTGCGTTCTGATTTCAATTTAGTTTAACATTATCTTCAGCATTTTGTACTTCTTTGGTTAAACTTATTCCTAAGTTTTTTATTCCTTTTAATGCTATTATAAATGAAATTGTTTTATTAATTTAATTATTTATTCATTGCTAATGTATCTAAATGCAATTGATTTTTGTTTATTAATCTTGGTTCCTACAACCTTGCTGGCCTCATTTATTAGTTCTAATAGTTTTAGTTTATTCCTTAGGACTTGCTATATGTAAGATCATATCATCTGCAAATAGAAATAATTTTACTTTCTCCTTTACAATCTGGATGTGTTTCTATTCTTTTTTCTTGTCTAATTGCTCTGGTTAGAACATTTAGTACAGCATTGAATAAAAGTGGCAAGAGCAGACATTCTTGTTTTGTTTTTTATATAGAGAAATGCATTCAGTCTTTCACCATTTAATATGATATTAGCTATAGGTTTTCGTAGATTCCTTTTATAAGACTGAGAAAGTTTCCTTATATTCCTAGAATGTTGAGTGTTTTTGTCATGAACATTTAATGTTAAGTGCATACTGTATTTTAAGTGCTAAACATACATAGTATCTCTCTTAAAGAATCTAGTAGAGAAAGGACATGATATTTCTACCCTGGCATTTTTATTAATCTGGCTTAACCAGAACTACATTTTTTTTTTTTTTTCAAAAAATTAAAACTAAATGTTATTGGCATCCCTTTATAAGACATTTCTTTATTTTTGAAGGAAAATGTTTAACCGTTTTAAAAAAAGTTTTAACTGAAGTATACTTTACATATCTTTGTAAAATGCATAAATCTTCCATGTACAGCTTAATTAATTTCTATACATGTATACACCTGTGTAACCTCCATCTCAGATCACTTTGGGATTTTTTAACCTGACTATTCACTACAGCTTCACTTCATTTCTGTCTTACATTTTAAACATAGTTGTTCCCTCTCTAATAGACTTTAATGAAATTTTTTTAAAAAAGGACTGTTTGTCTTTTGAGTTCTAATGATCTTTCCTATGTAGAGGAATAAGTATTATTAGTTGAGTCTCCATATATTCTCATTTAAGTGTTTTACAGTTATTAGCTAATACTTATACAATACCTATATTGTATTAGAGACAGCTGCCTTATTTAATCTGAAGAGCAAGATGGCCAGAAAGTGTTATTGTCTCCATTTTATAGATTTAAAAAAAAAATAAGATTTAGAAAAGGCTAACTTTAAAATGCTCTCTGATACCAATCCTCTTATTCTTTCCACTTCCTCTATGATAAGTATGGACTGTTTTATTACCAGTGAATAATTTACTTTGCTTAGTCTCTGGTGCATATAAAGAGAACTGATATATATCTCTTTGGTATATGAAGGATCATTCTCATGCTCTCAGTCTAGGAGAAGTAAATAATCGTGGAGGTTTCTTGTTTCTGTGGATGGTGCCAGATCTTAAAACAGTCTCCTAAGGTTTGGGTCCCTGGAGTACTTCTGTATTAGCAGCAGATGCAGAAAAGAAATGATTTTAATGGTCTATTTAAAGAATGTGCTGAATTGTCTGACATATTTTTTTACAACTAAGCCTAAGCCCTTGATTCTAACGTGTGCTCAAAATTTAGCTCTTTACAAGAATTTTTTCTTAATTTATTCTAATGATTATGATGTGATTTCTTCCATGTAATTGAGAATTTCCTTATATTTTGTTACTACTTTTTTTGCAGGTTGTTTCTTGAATGTGTCATTTCTTTTCAATATATTCGTAGTGTTTATTTTTTAGACATGGATCATGTTCTTTTAGTAGTATTATACTCTGCACCTAATAGATCCTTAATAACTGTATCGACTTTTCAACTTCTTTATTTTTTCAGAATCCTGAACTTGATAGCAGGTGCAAATTGGTAGGGCTTGAGCCGAGTCAGTTTAGATGTGTTGGTCTCTAGAAATTGAGGTGTGGTGCATGAGCATTATTAGATTAAATTACATTATTAGATTCTCTCCTGTCTTTGTTCCTTGGCTGACATGTTGAACAGAGTGAGGTATTCATTCATTCACTTGCATTAAAACAGTCCTCAAATTGCTGATGTAGCTAAACTAAGTAATTCTCTTGTTGAAACACTCACAACTAAATTCTCATCCTTTCTCTGGAACTTGAGATTGGTAAAAAGAGCTGTTAACTTTATAACTTATGAAAATGGTGCCAGAGCTCTTAAAGAGAAGTTATTTAGAGAGGGTTGATTAACTGCTGTAAATGTATATTCTCATTCATTTTTGATTGCATGTATAACATTTTCATTTATATTTATTCACTTTATTTTCATCAGGTACAGAGAATTTTACGAGAAAGATTTTGTCATCAGAGTCCACATAGTAACCTGTTTGGAGTACAAGTACAATATAAGTAAGTTTAGCTATTCCTTTGTCTGTTATGAACCTACTTACAGATGTACTTTAGGTTTTGCAAAAATTACCATACACAAATTTTGTCTTAAATAAGGCTAGTGAAGATTTTTATAGAGGTAAAAAATGTTGGTTTGTGTGTAGAAACACTGAATATCATGAATCAAGAGAGATATAAATATTTCCATAATAAGAAAGCCTTTTTACTTTCAATCTTATGTTGTTTCTGTTAAACGGTAGTGAGATAATTCTGAGCTTCTTGCACCTAATACTTGGCAGCTAGCTGTGGAGTGAAAGGTCCTAAAAGTTGCTACTGTTGTCTCTTATCCCATACTATCATAAAGACCAAGGTATTTCAGGCTTACTTGGTTTCCTCTTGAGGTTTCCAGAGAATCGATATTGGCCAACCATCTCTTCTTTGTTCTGTGTAGAACTATTTAGAAGTCAAGTGCCCAGAGGGGGAAAAAAAAGGAATGTCTGTTTCTTGTGCATATTTAGATTTTAAAAAGTAATACCTAGCAAATTACTCCAGCTTTTTAATTTTGGCCTATTTATGTCATTTCAGACACTTAATTGAACTGCTAAAAAGAACTGCTATCTATGGAGAAAGTAACTCTGTTCTCATTGTTGGACCCCGAGGATCAGGAAAGACCATGGTAAAGCTATTGATTTTTGGTGTTCCTTTACTTTGGTAGGCATGTGATGATTCTTCTGGACAACACTAAAATGCTTTTCATTATTTTGTTACAAAGATTTTGCTTTTTTTCTTTAAATCATAGAAGACGTGCCAAGCTTTATAAAGTTAGAGTGGTATATTTGAGTTGAGTATTTTTTACCTAATTTTCCCCCACAGTAACAAATTTTAATTGTTGTTTCCATCATGGTCTTTTGTCCTTGAAGAATTAGTGATAGCCAGTGGAAAAAGGAAACTAGCACTTACTGACCATGTACTTGTGTCTTATCTGTGTTCTATTATTTGTTCTTTACAGTAACCTGGTAAGGTAAGTATTGTCCCTGTTTATAGATTAGGTAACTAGCACACCACACATTCTTTTTCATTTTATTGTTTATTGTGTAACCCTAACACAAGCAATTTTTTCACATGTGTACTCACACATATCTTCTGGAATCTTATTATTATTTTCTCTTATTATCATATTTGCTTAGGTACCTCAAAAAGATAGTCTTGCTTTATTCCCTCATTTTCTCTTTTCACATTCTTTATTCAATATATGAAACAAATTATGTCTGTTACATTGAAAGTGTTACTATTTACTTTTAAATAGTTGGGCTATGTAAAATCATGTTTTCTGCTATATTCCGTACAATTTAGATTTATTACATATATTTTTATTGTATAGGAATAAAATTATTTATTATAATAATGTAGTAAGTAAAACTATGTAAAACAAAATTGTTTTTATTTTTTAAACAATGCAAGTTGATTCTACATTATGGAAGATAAATTAGAGCTTTAGGATTTTACTCTTATCACCCATTTTCGATATTGTTTGAAATAATGTAAATGGCGAATATAGATTTAGATAATTTCTTTAACTTTTTAAGAATTTTTCACATTATATTATGAGCATATTTACAGTGATTTTTTTTTAGTTTTAGATTTGATGTTTAATTTGGTTCTGTCCTCATGTCAGTCCTTCCACACAATTATCATTTCTTTCTTTTTAGTTCTTTATTATAAATAGATTTTCTTTGTGTTTTACTTTAGTTCTCTTTTGGGTAGTTTTTACAAGAGAACTGTGTGACTAACATGCTTTTGACCTATTAGAATATTTTAAATTTTTAACAATAGTCCTATTGACGATAGAAAAACTGAACAAAGGATTGCACAGGTCACTGAAAATTAATTATGAATTGTTCTTAAACTTATAAACATGTTCAATTTTACTCGTAATTAAGTAAATTAAATAAGAACTACAGCAATTTTCTCTGTCAGGTCGACAGAAATCCCACAAGATTGATAACACTGAATTTGTGAACTTATGAGAAAGCAGACATGCATGTTCCTGCTGGTAGTATATTTGACACAACTAGAATTAGACAAAAATCTAACCACATAAAAAACGCGTATACTCTTTAACTCAGCAACAGCATTTCTAGGAATCTACACTTATGAAATGATACATATACAGAGTTACTCTTTGCAGCACTGTTTGTTAAATGAAAAATGAGAAATGGTATAAATGCCCATCAGTAGGGTATTGGTTAATATATCATATTACATTCATCCATATAATAGACTGTTATGCAGCAGTTAAAAAGAACCTGGTTAACAGAACAAATCGCTCAAGCCATCCAGACCACTGAAATATAAAAGAGAAAGGAAGTTTAGTAACACTGGGTAATTTTTAAAAATAAATATTTTAAATACAACAAAAATTATTTTGTATGTAACTTACAACGTGGCTGGCATTGAACTCTTGGGTCACAGTTTTTTCCCCTTTGGAATTTATATAGCTTTTATTCAGTTTGTGTTTTATGGGAAAACTCCAACGGCAGACTTTTATTTTTTGCCTTCATAAACTGCTGTACCTATCATTCTGGATAGTCTAGATTGTGCAGTCATAACAATTTCAAATCTCAGTATCTTGACACAACAGAATTTTATTGTTTCTTTTGCTTTATGCCAGTGTAGATCAGCAAGGGGGCACTGCTCTTTGCAGTCAAGAGGAGTGATGGTGTGAGTTATCTCAGCATGTCCTTCCACTGCACTCCAGTGGAGGGAAGGCGGCATGATGAATCATAGATACACTCTTAAAAGTTTCTACCCACAGGTGATGGAGAGCACATCTCGCAGTTCACTAGCCAGAGCGATTCACTTGGTCACACCTAATTTCAGGAGAGCAAGGAAGTGTATACTCGTAGGTGCCTAGAAGGGAGGTTAACCAGAAGTATTTGGTGAACGTTGTTGATGACCACCACAGCTAACTTGTTTTGAGTTTGTGTGTGATTTTTCCCTGTCTGAATTCTTGCAGAATTTCTTTATTTTAGCAATATAAAAATTTCACAGGCTGTATCTAGTGTTGGTCATAAAAACCAATACTCTGTAAATCCTTTTAATACGAATTTAGATCTTCAGTAAAGAAAAAAGGAATGCCTGTTTCTTGTGCATATGCAAAGGATAATCCCCCCTCCATTTTTATTATTATTTCTTAAAAACATTCATCATATGAATGTTTGAAGAACATTTTTAGATAATACTTTAATTCTTCAAGAAACTTCATAATGTTACTCTTGTATCAATGATGACGTGTAGGAAATAAGTGCATTACAGTGCATCTTGAACAAAATGGTATTACAACAGGAAAGTTGAATCTCAGTGATTTGTACATTAAAGTATCAAGCCCAAAAGTAAACCTGAGCAGCTGAATGAATGAATTTATTCTAAACTTCATCTTGGAAGTTTGTCCCTAAAGGCATGGAGAAAGTTTGAAAAACAAGAAATAAGAGATAGTAAACACTTATAAAAATGTTTAAGTAAATACAAACTAAAATTGTACTCAATTTCACTAGTAAATTGGCTAAAATATATTTTTTACCAGAAAAATTAAGCAGATAGTAGAGTTTACATATTAACCCCCCCTATTATCCCCCCCGACACACATACACAGTTTCCCTTATTCCCTTATTAACATCTTAGTGGGGTACATTTGACACAATTAATAAACCAATATTGATATATTATTATTAACTAAAATCTATAGTTTACATTAAGGTTCACTCTTTGTGTTGTACAATTTTATGGGTTTTAACAAATATATGTCATGTATCCACCATTACAGTGTCATACAAAATAGTTTCACCATTCTAAAAATCCCCCGTGCTTTACCTGTTCATCTTCTCATCCCCAACAACCACTGATTATTTTTATTGTCTCCATAGTTGCCTTTCTAGAGTGTCATTTGGAATCATACATTATATAACCTTTTCAGATAGGCTTCTTTCACTTAACAATGTGCACTTAAGGTTCCTCTATGTCATTTCATAACTTGACAAGTCATTTCTTTTAATTGCTGAATAATACTCTATTGTATGAATGTACCACTCTTTAACCATTTGCCTAGTGAAATACATGTTGATTGTTTCTAAGTGTTGGCAATTATGAATAAAACTACTATAAACATTTATGTGCAGGATTTTATGTGGACATGAAGTCTTCAACTAATTGAGTAAATACTTAGCACTAATTGCCGGACCGTGGTAAGACCATTTAGTGCTGTGAGAAGCTGCCAAACTGTCTTCCAAAGTGGTGCTACCATTTTGCTTTCTTACTGGCTGTGAATGAATTTCTGTTGCTTTGTATCTTTACCAGCATTTGGTATTGTCTGGGTTCTTTTTTTTTTTTCAAATTTTAACCATTCTAATAGAAATGTAGTGATAGTTCATCGCTATTTTTATTTGCCGTTCTCTTATGGTATATGATATTGAGCACCTTTATGCTTACTTTACATCTTTATATCTTTGGCGAGGACTCTATGACCATTATTAAATTGAATTGTTTCTCTTCTTATCGATATTTTTTAAAAGTTCTTTATATTTTGGATATATCAGATATTTGTTTTGCAAATATTCTCCCGTGTTGTGTGTCTTTTAATTCTGTTAACAATATTCTTGTCAGAGCAGAGTTTTTAATTTTAAAAAAGTCCAACTCATCTCTTTCTTTCATGGATCATGCTTTTGGTGTTGCATCTACAATTTCATCACCAAAACCCAAGCCCTCTATGTTTATTTTCAAGAAGTTTTATAGTTCTTTATATCTTGCATCTATGATTCATGTTGAATTAATTTTTGTGAGAGCTATAAGGTCTCTGTGTCTAGATTATTATTATTATTATTTTGCTTATGAATATCCAGTTCTAGCACCATTTATTGAAAAACACTTATCTTTTCTTCATTGAATTACCTTTGTTTCGTTATCAAAGATCTGTTGACTGTATTTATATAAGTTTATTTCTGGGCTGTCTGTTCTGCTCCCTTGATCTGTTTGTTCTTTAACCAGCACCACACTGTCTTGATAATTGTAGCTTTATAGTAAGTCTTGAAGTTCAGTAGTGTCAGTCTTCTGACTTTTTGCTTCTTCAATATTGTTTTGGCTATTCTGGGTACTTTGCATTTCCATGTTAACTTTAGAATCAATTTATCAATATCCACAAAATACTAGGAATTTTACTGTTCAGTTGTGGGATTTTATGTTGAATCTATAGATCACATTGGGATGAATTGGTTTCTTACCTGTACTGAATCTTCACATTCATGACTATAGAGAGCTGGAATATCTCTCCATTTATCTGCATTTATTTAGTTTTTTCATTAGCATTTTATAGTTTTCGTCAAATAAATCTTATATTTTGTTAGATTTATACCTAAGTATTCAAATTTTTTGGTGCCAATTTGAATAGTATGTTTTTAAATTCATATTTCAAGTGTTTGCTGCTGATATATAGGGAAGCAAATGATTTCTGTATATTACCTTGTATCCTGTACCCTTGCTATAATTGATTATCATTTTCAGGAATTTGTCAATTCTTGGGGATTTTCTGCATATACAGTCATGTCATCTGCAAACAAAGACAGTTTTATTTCTTCCTTCCCTATCTCTATACTTTTTATTTCCTTTTCTTGTCTCATTGCATTAGTTATTCACAGGCTATGTCTAAGCATTGATCATAAAATTAACTGATAGTATACAAACTTACCTAATACAAATTTAGTTCTTCACTAAAGAATATTTTTTGTATCTTTGCGTATTCTCTTTCATTTCTTCTCTTCCTTTCTTAGGATTAGAGTATCCAGTTATGAAGCTTTTATTCTCATTTCTTTGTGTCATTTCTCCGTGTTTCTCTTTTTGTATCTTTTTCTTCCTTTCCCTCAGCATTCCACCATATTACCAATGTATTTTTCCTCAATGTCAGTTCTGTTGTTTGCTTCTTCTCATGTGATATTGCATTTTAATTTTCTAATGATCCTTCTTGTCTAGTAGCTCCTTATCATGAACCTTCTTAGGTTATTGTTTCATGTTTGTCTAGGTATGGCTTAAATAGCCTAAACCATTTATTGTCAAAAATAGACATTTTCAATAGTAATTAATCTTTTTCATCAGTTTGCTGTTCCTTTTCTTTCATGGTACATCATCTTTTCATGAATTCTTTGTTGACTTTTCCTATTTATTCAAGTTTAAAGAACAAGACAGCCATTATAGTATAGTATTTATCAGTTAATAAAACTGATAGATTATTCTTGGCATACTAACAATTTATCTAATTGTTACTTCTTAAACCAGAGCCTTGTTCTGGTTCTTTAAAGTCATTTATCTAGTGTGACTTCACTGGAATATGCAAGAATCCCCTA